CTTCCTTATTCCTGGGTATATGCCTTTGGAAATGCCCCTCTTAAACCCCGTATGATACAACTTTCCTTCCTTCAGCCACCCGAGAAACGTCGGAGAACAATTGAGGATTTCAACAAATTCTGCAGTTTTGTCTTGGCCTATGCCGGCTACATCCCCCCCAGCAAAGAGGTAGGAACAGGCCGTCAACTGACATGAGGGTAGTGGCCTAGGACTGGAGCTATACTTACAGAAGAAGCCCATCCGAAACTGTATGTGAGACTAGGGCAGTTAGAAATTCTAGTAGGAAAACTGTCTGGGGTGGGGGTGGGATTAATGGAGAGAGCTGGCTTGAGCAGCAGTGAACGGCCTTGGGGTTCTGTTAATGGAAGGTGTTTTGGATAAACTTTTGGAAACTGTAAATGATAACCAATGAGGCTACACAGAAAGCCAGACAATAAGATTCTTGTTGGGGGGATACAATGTTGCAAAGGCAGTGGGAATTGGAGAAACGGCTAAAGTGTAAGGGCAGAAGTAACATGGAGACGCTAATGGGAATTGGGGTGGGGGTCAGTCTTTGAGCACAGTGGCGGTTTGCTGTTTTTGGCAGGGTGTTCGGGGTAGATTCGTCCCCAGGTTTTAAGCTAGGGCTGTAGAGGAGCTGGGAGGCCACACTGGGTCCCCTGCTGACCCGGGTCTTGTCCTTTTTGAAGGAAAGCGACTGGCCGGCCTCGGGCTCCAGCTCTCCACTGCGAGGTGAGAGTGCGGCCGACAGCGATGGCTGGGACTCAGCTCCCTCCGATCTCCGGACCATCCAGACCTTCGTTAAGAAGGCCAAGTCATCCAAGAGACGGGCTGCTCAGGCAGGTCCCACCCAGCCAGGACCCCCAAGGTCCACCTTCTCTCGTCTGCAGGCCCCTGACAGTGCCACCCTGCTTGAGAAGATGAAGCTCAAGGACTCTCTCTTTGATCTAGATGGGCCCAAAATGGCATCTCCACTGTCTCCCTCATCCCTCACACATGCCTCCCGGCCCTCTGCTGCTCTCACCTCAGTACCCCTTTCCCAGGGGGACCTCTCCCAGCCCCCTCGAAAGAAGGACCGAAAGAACAGAAAGTTGGGGCCGGGAGGGGGGGCTGGCTTTGGGGTGCTTCGGAGGCCTCGGCCAGCCCCTGCGGATGGGGAAAAGAGGTCTCGAATCAAGAAGAGCAAGAAGCGGAAGTTGAAAAAGGCAGAGCGGGGGGATAGACTCCCACCTCCTGGGCCTCCCCGGGCACCTCCCAGTGATACAGACTCTGAAGAGGAGGAGGAGGAAGAGGAAGAGGAGGAGGAAGAAGAGATGGCAGCAATGGGAGGGTGTGACACCCCAGCCCCTGTGCTGCCAACGCCCCCTGAGGCTCCTAGGCTCCCTGCCCCAGCGCACCCTGAAGGAGCCCCTCCCACTGACAGTGAAAGCAAGGAGGTGGGCAGCACTGAAACAAGCCAAGATGGCGATGCCAGCTCCAGTGAAGGGGAGATGCGGGTCATGGACGAGGACATCATGGTGGAGTCAGGTGAGAAGTTTGGAGTTGCCCAGGGGCAGCTGGGATGATGGGTATGGGGCTGTTGTGGATGTAGCAGCGCAGGCACAATATTAAACCAACCTTTTTTGCCCCAGGTGATGACTCGTGGGACCTGATCACGTGTTACTGCCGAAAGCCCTTTGCTGGGCGGCCCATGATTGAGTGCAGCCTCTGTGGGACGTGGATCCACCTCTCATGTGCTAAGATAAAGAAGACGAATGTCCCTGACTTCTTTTACTGCCAGAAGTGCAAGGAACTGCGGCCAGAGGCCCGGCGGTTAGGGGGGCCTCCCAAATCTGGAGAGCCCTGACATCGCTGTCTCTAGGCTGGAACTTCCAAATGACAACGTGACTTGGGAACTGAGCCTCGGCGTCCTCAGCCCACCTCCCGGAGCTTGGATATTGTCCCACTTCAAGGCAGGAACTCCCAAGGGAGCCTTGTTTGGAAATGAGTTGTTACTCTGTTCTTCCTTCCCACCTTGTGGACTTGACATGGGAGCCATTACAGTTGGGGGTGGGAGGCTGTCTGGGTCCCTAGACACTTAATCTCTGTCCCTTGGACCTGCCACCTCTCACTCAATGTGCCAGGGTTGGAAATGGGATGGAATGGGACAGTTGTCTATAAAACGCTAGTGTAAATACAGCACTTCCCTCCCTCATCTTTTCTCCATCCCCATTTATTCTACACTGGTTTTGTTTTTAATTTTGGACTTCCCCTTTTTGGGCAGGGCAGCTCAGAGGTGGAGAACCGGAGCCTGGCTAGGGGAGGAAGGAAGACAGGTGATCATTCTCCGGGTCACCTCTTGTTTTTAATAATACTGGCCCGCATTGGTGCGGGTGCCTGCGTGTTGTAAATAAAGCGGAGTGGGCTCTTTGTGTTTACAGCCCTCACTGACTGTCCTCCTTGGGAGGGAGGTTTTGGAAAAGCTGGCAGAGGGCAGAGAAGATGGCTGGAGGCGGTCCTGAAACCCACCTCTAAAGCCGGAGCTGAACATGACCCTCTGTGTCTTGCCCAACAACTCTGGCTTCAGTTGGCTTTGCCCCATGTCATCCCCAGCCTGGAACCCCCGGAACCCCGCCCTCCCCGCGCCTGCATCCCCCGTCGGACCACAGTTGCTTGGAGCCCCTGCGGGGTGGGAGTGTGTTGCTGGCCCCCTGAGGGCAGGGACCAACTTGGCGAGGGTGTCCGGAGGGCACGGGAGGGGAGTGGGAAACCGGGGCATTGGGGGGGCGGGGCCACGAGGGAGACCGTTGCTGAAAGCAGTCACGTGGTGTGGCGCCCGTCACGTGGTGTGGGCATCGCGAGAGGGCGGGCCGGTTTGGGCCACGTGACA